TTAGTCGTTCCCGATGGAAGCGAGGTAGAGGTGCGTAGGGGGGATAATATATTGAAATTATATGTAAACTGTTACATAATTTTTGAAAATATATTGTATATAAAAAGGTATATAAAGTGCGTTAACGCACAAATAATTCGGTCACTGCCTTAAAGACGGCGCTTTCTAAGAAAAGCAGCTTTTTTCATGCTTGCGAAGGAGCCCTGCCTAATAGCACTCCTGCCTTAGCAGTGACGGCAGGCAGCGCGCCCGAGCCCTGCCCGTCCTGCCTGGAAACGTCATTACTCCTACAGGCAGTGCAGGTTTCCCAAGCACCTGTCTGCCTACAGGGCAACTGTCTGCCTCTAGCCTGCTCACCATTAACTAACTACAGCTCCGTTACTTGAGCAGAGCCAGAACAGGTTTTGCAAGGCCAGTGATGATAGAGCTTTTCACACAATAAAAGCCTAATGCATGTCTATAGATTATTTGTCATGAGGATTTCAGGCACTAATTTGAGCTGTCTTGTACTGCCCATTAAGCTTAGAACCCAGGGGCATACAGTTTAGTACACAGACATGAATGCTTAATCTTAAAAATTAAAACTAACACAGTAGCACCAAAGGACAGGAGTATACCATTTGGGAAGCGTAGTTTATGATTATCTAGTTCCTGTAATGTATGTGTCTAAATATGTGAAGTTATGGGAAAAGGGACTGGCAGGAGGGAAGAAGGAATATGAGCAGGAAGCAAAACATTGACTAGTCAGAGCTTACCTTTGAAAAAACACTTAACTGGGGACACATACATAGATGAATTACTAAATTGCCTGTCACATGCTCTGCAAAGTAAAATGACAGTTGTTGCTAAGGCTTACCAAGCACTGAAGTGGTAGATCAGACGTGCAAGAGAAAAGCATGTGTCAGACTGATCTTGGAATCCATAGATCTCCAGGGGTTACAGCGCACCATCTCTAACGGACATTCCATAATCCATTAGCACTCCTTCCCAGCTGTTCCTGCTATCTGAAAGTGTTTGATTATCACAAAATATGACAGCTATGTCCCAACAGAAAGCAGCAAGTCTTGAACGTGCGTCAAGCCTCCTGTGCATCAACTGCAACTAGCTCAGTTGTAACCTAAATCCTGAATGCCAGACTGGAAGCGCTTGATGACGTCCCAAGACGGGTAACAGTTCAGGGCATGACATCTGCGAGTGGACGTTCAGATGTACAATCAAGTACAAGGATCCAGACCTTAGACCAAAGGTGAGCACAGCATTATAACTGTAGGCATGTTTTCCAGAAGCTTAGCACTTGGATCATTGCCTGACACTTCTCTACGTCGAGTCATTGGCTCTGTATCCCAAAGTAGTTTTACTGAGGAACCTTAGTAAACTGGGAGGAGAGGTCTGCTTTTATCAGTGCAAGTGAACAGTATTATTACTTAAACTCTCTCCCTGGACCTTTAGACACTATGCGCCCACCAGTAACAGTGGAAAACGTCTGGTACACCACTTAACACTTTCACTTTTCTAGTGAAAAGAGGACACACTCAGAAAGCACATCGACAAACTACTCAGTTCTAGGCAAAGCATTATCCTTCTCTGCAATATACATAAACACCAGCATAACAAAATACATGTATTTAGCAAATGACAGGAGCAAAATAAGCACAGCAACATGGAAGAGAGACACAATAAAAGAATTTGCAGTCCTAGGTAACCAGAGTATTTTCCTCCTACTTCTCTTCATCAGGGATGCCTGTGCCAGTGTCAGCCTAGTTCACATACATTTTGAGGAACTCTCTTCCCTCAGACATCCTAGAGAATGTATATTCAGAGAAGAAACTTTCAAGAGCCCATCTAGAAAATCAACATTAAAAAGGAAAGAGGAAAACTCAAGATATAATGGCTCCTTCACAAGAGAAACCCTGCATGAAGATTTGAAGAAAGCTGCCTGGCCCACAGATCAGACCTACCTCCCCTGTTCAAGTCCTACCAATCAAATCTGTCAGAATGCACTACTTCCTTAGGACAGCGTCATCATTCAAATGCCTTTTTAACAGGATCTTTCTTTAGTGGAAAAAGATAAGAGGTATGATTGTATCTAGTAAATTACTGTTTGGGTAACCACAGGCTTGTAGACCTGGGTTGTCTTTTATCCATTTCTGAATACACAAGCCTTTCAAATAACTTCAAAATAGTCACACTGCTTACAGGAATCAAAACATGAAGCAAAGTAATTAAAATGAGATAGTCTGTGTTTTCTCAAAAAAATCTAAGACAACTAGGAGAAAGACATTCATCTCAGTTGTTGCACCAAGGAAGACTAACACAGAAATGGATTTATATTTTCCTTCTTAAACAAAATAAACATAGAAACAAGAAACTACATACAAATAGCCAAAGAAATATTACAGATGAGAAGGGCTTCCCCCATCCTCTTCTCACAGTGTAAAACAGTTTTTTCCATGTAACAGCTAAGTCAAAAGCATATGCCACTGAAAATGGAACTTCATAGACAAATTCATGATAGGATAAGCCAAGACTTGCTCAGTCTTTTAGGGATAAATGATTTGCTGTGAGGGTAGTAGAACCCATGGCTCAGCAGCAATGGTTTGTAAACAATAAAGCTAAATGCTGCCTTTTGTGCCTTCTGGCTGCTTACAGATGCCGCTTTCCTACCCTGCCAACAGGACATTTCACTAATTCAGACAGTAGCACTTCTTAAGAGGCAGAGGTTCCTCTCTGCTGCTGACAAGAACTATATGAGTTTCTAACTTCTGGATGTCCTGCTTCCCAATTCTAAAACCCTTTATGCAAAAGCCTTAAGAGGGAACAAACTAAAGATAGTATATGAAAGAGCACTAGCTAAGGAATTCTGGAAGATTTAATCTTCTCCATCCCTATCTAACAGAAAATGAGTAACATCAACAGAGCAAGCAGATGGCCAGCAGCTCAGCTTACAGTGCATTTAAACACTTATGGCTAACAGGGTTCATAACCCACCCTTTGTTACCTTTACTGCCAGAGGCCTTGGATGACTCTAGCTGCCATATGAAATTCAAGAGGAAAACCCATGTTGGCACTTTTTCCTGATATACCTCTCCTGCCTGCTGGTGGGGGTGGCCAAGTTCTCAAATAGCTTGGGCCATTCCCTCTGCTGCCTGAAATAAGGGAACGTGATGTACACATATAAACATGTCGTTCACTAAGGAAAGGGCAGTGATGCATACAAACTATTACATTACACCAAATAGGTCACAAGCTATCATGGAAGCCTAGGTTTTGTATGTCAACCATCTAGCATAACGGCAGTTTGTTCTCTCATAATCCCAGTTTTGTTTTAGAGTTCAAGCTTCTGTACATTCATTTAAAAAATAAGGTGTTTCTTCCAAATGCTGATAGTTCTCAGATCCAGCCTCTTCACAGAATCTCCTTCCAGATGTCCAGTCCACTCATCCAGGAGCAGCCAACCAAACACCATTAGGTTGGTTCTGGGCAGCACACAGGCAAACGAGTCTGCAGTAACAGTGTTTAGATAATGTAGTAGCTTTCATTGTAGTAAGAATCCTCCTCAAAGTCCTCACTGTCACAACTGCTTATCAACAGGATGGAGTAGATGGAAGAAATGACACTGCTATCATTGTCCGTGGCTGGGTTCACCAACACATTCTGTTTCTCTGCATTCAAAGCACACAGATACAAAAGTTAGCAGTGACCACTGTACCCACAAATGCTGCTAAATTACTAGTTCTCTTTGAAACTTATAGCCTCTTACTGTCAGTTAACACAATAGGTCTTTCAAGCTGCAGAGCATAGGCCTTCTTTCTTTTCAATTTTAAGCATAAAAAGATCAAAGAATGCTTTTTTGTTTGTTTGCTTGAATTTCTTATACGCCTTTTCCAGTTAAGATAGCACAGATGAGGAGGAAGACATTCTTCATCCCTTCACTGGCACACAACTGGCAACAGTAGTGGCTAACTATTACAGTGTCTTGCCAGGTAAGAAAGAGGGAAGGCACAAAATGTGGTAAGGAGCCCTCAAACAAGTAACCGTTGCTCAGGACAGTTACGGCCCCATCAAAACCTCCATACATTTAAGACTTCAAGCTGTTCTATTGGTGCCAATTACACCAAGGCTCTTGGAAAGGCTTCTTGGGAAGCTCTGACTGAGCTTCCCAAGCACCACTTGCATCATTATTTCTCTTTCAGCTGATTTCTTCTTAGGAACTCATGTTTAACTAGACACATGGTTATCTTCATCTCAATCAACATGTTTCCATCACTGAATGAAAAGAATTCAATTCTTTTGATTCAGCACAGAAACAATTCATCCTTCCTCCTGAAATGTGTCATGGCGAAGCTAAAATATTTCCTGCTAATAGTCATTTTATATCATTAGAGCATTTCCTTTTTGTTCAAACAAGCATGAAGACCACTGGCTTACCACATGGAAACAAAGTGGGCTCCAACAAAGGCACCACTTCATCCCATCACCATAAGCTACCTGATGAGACACTTCAATAGCGCTATGGCGTACTCTGCAGATATACATATTACACGAGAGCAGTGTCAGTTCTGCAGAGGTGAAAGCAATTCACGGAGCTGAGCTGGGCAGTCTCTGTACAATGTAGCATTTCCTGAGGGGATCAGAGTTGGTTAAATAAGCGATAATTTCGGATTTGAGCTAACACTGCTTAGCGATGTCATTCTATGTCACCATGGAGAATCTGAAATGTTTCAAAAAAACCTTTCATTAGGTAAAAGGTTTGACACATTGCAAAATGAAGGATCATGCATTCACCTCTATGAGGGGAAAACAAGACAATTACTTAAGGGAACACAGCAATAGAAATTTGTTAGGGGGTAGCAGGAAGAGACTTCCACGTTTCAGCACCTAGATACCACTCTCAAGTGCTCTAGAAATAAATTTGGAAGAGGGAAGCAGAATAGGAGTACCCCATACTGGAGTTTTACTTAAAGCTGTCACTGTCACACACAGTCTTTTAGCTACAACTAGGCAAGAGATAATGCATTTAAGCCACAGTGGTCAATTCTATAACAATTAACATGGCAAAGCAACTGCCAGTTACATGACACACCAACATTCCCTTCAGAGATTTCCTACATAAATCGAGCACGCAGAAGAGAATCCAGAGTTTCTCACCAGGCATTGATCTGCTGAGTTTTCACAATGATGTAGTTAATAGTTTAATCAAAAGATGCCTGTTAAATTTGTCAAGGCCCATTCCATATAGTTTTGCTTTTATTTAGTGATCTCTCTGAATCAGTGCAACCTTTAGTACAGTTAAGTTGTCCTGCTCAACTAGGCAATTCACACTGACGTATTTTTCCAAATTTTTTATTAATTTTACTTTACTGGGCAGTAAGGCTAGTTACACAGCATACCTTAAAATTAATTTCTAGTGTTTCTGCTGCATTCCCTGAGCATCTCCTTGGTATATAGGTGGCAAACAAAGTTTTAAAAAAATAGAAGGAATGAGAGATTGTATTCATCATGCCACATCCACCCACCTCTCACCTTTCCGCTCTCTGATAAGTGTCAGGCGATGCTCTTTCATGTCGACATCCAGTTTTTCTACCATCCTGTCAATGCAGTTATCCAGCACCAGAGAGCGTGTCTTTGATTTTATCTCCTGCCTGCAGATAGGGCACTCCGCTTTACGTTTCGTCCACTCATTGATGCAGTAGGAGCAGAAGCTGTGTGCACAGTTCAGAGTGACCGCCTGCAGAATTCAAGGGAAGGATACTTGTCAGAGCATGCTCACACAAGCATTGTCAAGGACAAAAAAACCCACACTGAATTCAGAAAAACATTACATGAACGATTCCTATAAGGGAAGAGAAGGAAGCCCAAAGCCCCCTTCTTTAGTCTTTGTAGGGTTACACAGAAAATAACTTTCCCATGACAGAGTACAGACAAATTTCACAATGGTTAATGTAGATTAGTTAGATTAGTTAATGCACTGTAGATCATAGCAAGTCAGAAACACAGACAAAAAGAATTAGTTGTAAGTTTCCCCAATTTGAAAAGCATAAATTATGGAAAAACTCAAAGATACTAGAGAATAGCATCTTAAATTACTGAGAAACCAGAAATTAAAATTTCAGCTAGCTCTTAAGTCGTTATAACAAGGCTAACACATCAGGTTTCCTGTAGTAGAAACAAATGTAATGAAACTGAAGTTCTAGCAAAACTTGAACGGAAAGAACAATCTACATTTCAAGCATAGCCTGCCTACTACTTCCAGAATCAAATGCAAGCAGGACAATTTCTCCTTCTCAAAAAAAAAAAGTTTATCTGAACAATATAAACTGTTCAGGACTTGACTGAACTCTGCACCTCCCTTCCTTTACTAACCTCTTCCTATATCTAAACCTGAAGCAGTCCAACCCTAGCAACTTAAAGCAAGGTCCACTACAAAATGATTCTTCCCCCAGCACGCTGTCAGCAGCAGCTCAGAGCACCAGTTCAAAAACACTCAAAACTGCTGCAAGCTTATATGCATCTTAGGATTAAGCACTCTATGCAGGTAAAGACATTAAAGCTGAACTTCTGCGCCAGAAGAAGAGTTAAGGCTGACAGAATGGATTTCTGAACCCTTACCAATCCTTACCCACAACTCACTGTGGGTCTGCTGCGACTGTTAAACTAGTGAAGTAAAGAAATAAGTTTGACTATTGCTTTAACAGAACTAGGGAATGCTTCTCAAGTCTCCTCTTTACTAGAAAACCCATACTGGTTTAAACATACCTCGATAAAGTGCTCAGAACAGATTGTGCACTGCAACTCATTCTCCAACACATCATTCATCTGATTCAACACCTCTTCTTTCTGGGCTCTCACCTTTTCCTTCTCCTCCTAGTGGAAAAGTACATACAGCCATGTATCAACAAAGAACAAGGTTTTACTCAATATAATATTGGCAGAAAGTGCACGTGCAAGGGAAGGTAGCACAAGTAGAAATTCATACAACTGCAAGTCTCCACATGCCAAGTCTGTGTCTATTGTATACCCAGATCTGCAACCTCTCCTCTTTGTAGTCAAGGCAGTATTGAGAATATTCCCACCCACTGTAGAGAACTTACAAGCAAGAACAGCAGCCATTACCAAAATTCCCTTCAGCTTAAAGAAACTACCAGCTGGATCAATCTTTTCAGAATCTCTTTCAACCTCTTCCTGGCATGAATTTGGCTTAAGTCAACCGAATAGCTCCTCTGATGGCTGATGTAAAGAGCAAAACACCCAACATACAAAATAGCTCAAATATTTTAAAAAGGAAGCATAAGAATTTAAAACATTTACTTGCATTTAACCACCCAATAATTTTTTTTTTACATGGAGTTAAATTAGGCTCCCAGGTACCTGCTCTATTTTCCAAAAATAACAGAGAAATTCTTCCAATTGAAGCTATACTTGAGACAGCAACAGAGTTGCAAAGATGACATTAAAAAACCCATAAAGCGAACAGCCAGAGGTGGATAATGTGATAATTTCCAAGAGTAAGACAGAGGAAAGGATCTCCTTAATTATTTTTCCACTCATCACCTTGTGTCAAGGGAAGGAAGAAGTGCCTTATCTCATGCATTATTCAAATTCCTACCCTTTTAGGACTGCTGGAACACTGTATACAGTTTTACTTGAATGCACTCGAACTGAAAATGAAGCACCTCACTTTTCAAGCATACTTTTTTTTTTTTAAAAAAAGAAAGTGTGGAATGGGCCCACTTCTCATGCATAACACACAGCTCAGGTGCCTTGGGCTTGCTTTATCACCGAGAAAGATCAAGTAATGACTGTTCAACACTACTTCATGAACAGAGCAAGGTGCACCCTCCCCCAATCCTGGAAACTAGAGTCAGCTACCACCTCAAAATACAGGAGTTTTTCACTATAGGAGGCAAAGTACAGTCAAGACAAATGTTAAATAAATAATTTCCTCTGCTGCAGCATGTAATGTTTCACTTATGAATAAAACTGAGAATTCCTTACCTTGGTTTCTTCCAGTTCTTTATTCTTGGCTCGAATTATCTCCTCAAAATCTTTTTTACTACGGCTCAGTTCTTCCATCAAAGCATGATGCTGTAACAATACCACCCCAGAAATTATAAGAGTGCCATTATCAGCTATCCTATTAAATATACATGGCCATAATCATGAGGTTCAGCATACTAATTTCTCCTAATCTCCTCCTAAAAGAGCAACACATGCCTACATAAATTGGAGTGTTATGGCAGTTAAGGCTAAACTTAAAATTGGAATGTAATGCCAGTTATTTATGACCTTCCCAGTGTCATGGCAGTTGTTCTTCCCTCTCCCAGGTTACTCTCTCATTTCAGTTAGATTTTATGGTCACTATTTTGAGTGCACCTCAGACACTTGAGTATCAAGGGGTATTTGACACATAAGGGTCACAAAAACCTGTCACTGTATGCAGGGTTACCCGAAGCTGTTTTCAGATTAGCTTTCCAAAAGGAAAGGCCTTTTGGAAAAAGCCTAGAAAACCTAAGCATGTGGCAATCTCTTGAAAAAAATTTCACTCTTGGTTAGGAATGTTTTTTAATCTGGTTAAAATTGCCAAAACAACTTCCCCAAAATAGGTACCTAGCAGACAGACTTCACAAAAAAGCCCACCCGCTCAAGGACCAAATTCAAATAAAAATCATTGCAGCTACTTAATGCTTTCAATCTGAACGCATATTCTCACAATATTTGCTGGCGAATAGCAACTCCCGTAAAGGGAGGTCTGCCACTTTCTGACAGAATTTTGGTCTATAGATGAAGATCACCCAATCTGCACCTGAAGCAAAGTCCTAGTCTTCCACCAAGAAACCATAGCACTAAGACAGACTTAAATATCCAAGATACACAGTTAGACCAAATCTAGACTCATAACTACTTGCCTCTTGCAGGACCTGGGCCAGCTGTTCCTTCAGATTCTCTTCCCCATGTTGCCACTTTACTCCCTGATGGGAAAAAAACCCAAGAAACCAAAACAAGACCTTTTTTGCTGGAAGAAAACTGTTGGTGGGGGAGGGGGGGTGGGGAGTGGCAGGGAAGACAGCTTGAAGAAAGCAAGAAACAAAAAATTACTACTTTGCACACTGTCTGTAGAGGATATGCTTAAAGAAACAACACTGGTTTTCAGGAAACCCTGAGATGTTCCACTCCAGTGTTACATGTGTATGACAGAAATTAGAGCCATCATCTACTGTGAAGAGTTAAACTGGATATATCATTTACCGTTACATACTTGGAACACTTCTACGTTATTCTAGCTGTAAAGGCACCAGCATGTTCATAGCAGCAAACAAGTCAGCAACAACTTAAACATGAGAAAAAGCTATCTTTGAGCACATTCAAAGAGGTCAGACATACCTACAGCTCCAGCTGAACTTCCCCTTGTGCTTAAGCACACAACTCCAGACTTTCTGCACTTCTGATACAGGTATCTTGCCTTTAACAGCAGACTTTAAAGGAAGTAACTGATAAATTATGAAACTCCATCCTAGATGAATCCTTATTTACTTTAAACCAGATTTTGAGCAAACTCAAATAGAAAGACTTCAGTTTGTTATCTAAAAAAGCCACTTACCAACATATACATACTGCTTGAAGACACAGATTACAAGAAAGGGTTTTTTGAAAGTATGAAAAAAAAAAATCTCCCTCTTTGCAGGGATTAAGGCATACAATAACTCACTTTCTTGGAAAGGGAATGGATTTACCATGCAAACTGGGCATTAATTCAGGCATACAGTAGACAGAAATTCACACTTAAGGTGAATACTTTTCAACTTGTCCTCTCTGCAACCACAGGAGATCAGGCAGAGACTTTTGATTTTATTTTTTTTTTTTTTTTTAATTTAAAAGCACACTTTTTTACTCACTGAAATGCTTTACTATCTTGGTGTAATGAACCTGTTTGTAAAAAAATTTTTTAAATTATTTTGTGCCTTTTTCGGAATTCCCCATGCAGCCCAATCCCTTCTGTCTCTGCAGTTTCTTTTGGTACACGTCTGGAAGAGAAATACTTCCATGACAATTTTAACAGGGGTAACGTGCACAAACATGATTTGTGTTACTGTATGGTTCAAGATCTTATTTTGGATCAACATCTTCTATTAGTCATTCCATAAAAATGAAAAGACACAGGCCAAAAAGATGACTAGCATTATACCTCTAGCTTCTGCTGCTCTTTAGAGAACGTTCTCTCCAGCTCTTCCACCTGCTGCTGCTGATGCTCTTGTTCCATGCATAGTTGGTCCTGTAACTCCTGCAGCTCCTGCTCCATTGCCAGGATCTCCTTCTGAGCACACTTTCTGCGCTTCTGCTTCACGTTCAGGACCGCTGTCTGCTTCTCCTGCACTTTGACCTTTAACTTCATTATATCTACTAGAGTTTTCCTCAGCATTTCCAAGCCAGTCCATGACTGTGCAAGACCAGACCCTTTCTGGTCCTTATGGAGGACAGACATGGCTTTCTCAGAGTGCACAGGGCTACCACGCACTGGACCACCATCCTCCTCACTTGGTCCAGCAGAAGGCAGCTTGAAATCCATCTTCTCTGTTAACTGTTTGGCCTCTTCTACCCTTCCCCATGATTTACCCAAAGGTTCGTTGTCACAGGACACTCTGTCTCTTTTGGATCTGGAGTTTGAAGGGCCTTCTGATCCAGATGTCTCGGATTCCTCCAAACTAAATTTACGTTTAGTTCTTGAACTCTTAGTTTTCCCCAGGTCATTCCTTTGGGCTAAAAAGGGTCTGATTTTCTCCCATTCTTCATTAATTACTTCATACTCATATTCAGCAGACTCTCTGTTTTCCAAAGGCACTCCCAACTGGATACGGTCTCCTTCAGTGATAGGATAGGCTTTTGAGGGATCCAGGCGCTGTTTGTTAAGCCAGACTCCATTTAGACTCTGGAAATGAACAGTGAATCAGCAAAATTTAATATGCAGTTACAGAATCCTCTGCAAGTTATTTCTGGCAACTGTAAACGTATCCAACCTCTTCGGTGTTGCAGTCAGAACAAGGCATGTCTTTAAATAAGCCTTGCAATATCCAATTTATTGGCATGGTATCCCATTTATTACATTTATTGCATTATATTCTTTATTGTGCATTATTTCTGCATTACACATTTTGTGTACAAGCACCAAGAACAGCATTAATATATGCCCTTGTGCAGAAGGAAAAGAACTAACTCTAAGGGGAAAAACTGCCCAAAAGCTTCAGAAATCAGAACTAACCAATAAAAAGAAAAGGCTCTGCAACAGATCACTGTCAAGGACATAGAATATTGCAGTAATTATTCTCAATGATTAATGTCACCTGAAATTCAAGAAAAAACTAGAAGAGAAAAAGGAACATAGCTTACACTGCTTAAACAAAAAAGAGACAATTCTCCATAAATACAGGGAGAATATAAAGAAGGAAATTGTTCTTCTAGAGATAATGTTCAAAGCAAGAAAAGGGTTTTTAAATTAGACAGTAGCTCAAGAAAGTTTTGAAGAACAGTAAAACTGATCTGTGCTCAAGATGAACTGCAGAATCGTTAACAATGGCATATCTCAAAGAGATTCAATAAAACAACTTGACAAAATGGTAGCAATGATAACACACAGGAAGTGCTAGTAGCTAATCTACCATAGGTGATTCCAATCATGCAAAAACTATAAGTTTTAACATTAATACAGGTACTGCAACAGAGTTTTGTTTAAGAGCAGTGTAATTTTAATAGTAACCACTCCATTCCTTTCTGACTAATCTGCTGGTGACTCAAACATCTTTCAAATCTGCACGACACTGTATTTTTGTTCTACCAGTGCTGTTTTAAAGCAAGTTACTGATTCTGGTTTTCAGCCTGAATGAGAAAGTGAAGAGATCATGATATAAAAAACAGATTACTGAAGTCAAAGTGGATGTAGCTGAGGACTCTGATATCAACACTATTATTCTAATCAGTTGAGGAGGACTTTCAGAAGAAACTAATTTGAACATAACATGAAGCATGGTTTTTCTAACAATAGATTCTTGTAGTCGATTACAATTAAAGCAATTGTGTCACAATAAGGAGTATCAGTTTATCCTGTCAGTAGCACTACAGTAATATTATTCTTTTGAATACTGCCATAATTCCTAGGCTTATTTTTTTAAGAGAGTAACACAAATCAGGTACACAGACTGCAAAGTGCCCTTGGCGAGACTACAATTGTCTGAAAAATGCTAAACCAAGAGACAAATCTACATAAAGGAATAAGGTTTGTATCCTAATTGCAGCATACCAAAGCTTCCTGCTGGAAGCGCACAACAGACAAGACACATTCCCATGAACCTGCTATCACACTTGTACCACATTATATCGTAGTCCGTACATTGTTTGAGCCCAAACAGGGCATTCTCTTCAGTGAATCTCAGAGTACAAGGTCTTTAATAGTCTCTGTACCTTGTTATCCTTGACAGTCCACTGCCCTTCTGCATTTTGCTGGAAAACACAGTGCTTACGAGAGATCATCAAGGGACAGGTTTTTGACACCAGCTGGTACGTGAGATCTAATCCTCGGCCTATAGTTACCTAAAAATAAAGTAGTTTGATAAGTGCAATCAGCAACGACATGGTAAATTCAGTTTATATGGTTTCAAGTTAAGTACAGAAGAGATCTACCTAGATTAGCATCTTATAGCTATTTCCAAAGAGTTCAGGATAATATGTTTTTTTTTTTCTTTTTTGCATTTAAATTCAGAGGTGGATAGAAAATGGAAACCTAAAAAGCTTGAAGTATTGTCTTTCTCTCCCACTGAGGAAAATGTGATTGCCCTAAGGCAGGTTACAGCCTTTGTTCATGGAAATCTTCAGCAGCAGCAAAGCTGCTCAAAGCTGCTTTCAATCCATCCATGTCCCACCTTATTCACTACCTAAGTAAACACCATTTCTTCAAACCAGTACAATTGTTTGTGGGTCTCAAGATTACTTCTTACCTTATTCTTTTGCTAGTTGCATCTGTTCAACTGCCTGCGAACAGGAAAGATGCAGGAAAAAAATAGCCCAGAAAATTGCCATTAAAAAAAAAGCACTATAACTGTGCCCTAAATGCGCAATACTTTTGTAAATCACACCATCAATCTTAAGACTCAGAAACTAAACTACAGGCAGTTCACAACCAGTAGTGTAAGTGATCTAAATAATCTGATTAGACTCTAATGCAATCTTTGGAAGAAAGGACATAATTTAATCATACCATTTCACAGTATCTTATTAAATCTGATCTAATTGCAGGCTGCCATTTAAAGCATGGCTCTGCTCTCCCTCCCCCCACTGCCTCCTTTGCAAGATCTGATAATCATGCACACTTTTCTTATTCATCTGTGCGTTGCACGAGTTTTCAGTCAGCTCATCATGTAATTCGATAATTGCATGGATCCAATGTAGCCTTAGATGAAGGCTGCTCTTCCTTTCCCCTGCAATCCCAACTCATTTGCATAAATTTCCAATTCCTACAAGACAGCAAGATGTTGTAGCCAAGTAAAGTTCATTCACTACACATCATCTGAGCAGGTCTCACCTTGAGTTGAAAGCAAGAACTCGGACTCCCATGTCATAACTAAATGTAAGGAAGCAAACTAAGGTCATGAAAGCAACATTAACCACATTTGCTCCCTACCTCCTGGTACATATTAGTGTTCTAGCAACATGGATTGCATGTGTAGGAAAGTACAGGGACTCAGGCAGATTCAGTTATAAACTCAGCTTTGCTCTTCTCCCTGCAGCTGCAACAGAAATGCCTAACCCACATGAACGATTCTTAACACCCGGTCACACACATCTGCGTGGCCTCACACACCAATACAAGTGAGACCAAGGAGGGCCAGTTACAAAACTTCCCCTCGATCATTAAGCAAACTGCAACGGGGGGCTGAAACGTTACCACTCGCCTGCTGGGGTTCGCCACCACCCACCACAGTGGGTGAGCAGAGCACAGCACATCCCCACGCCTCAGCTGTGCGGTTTGGCGCTGCCATTTAAATGCCCAGGGAAAGGAGCTTGTGCTAACATGCCAGCCTTTGGTCTGGCAAGCCTGCGGTACCAGGACGCTGTCAGTCCCCCTGTTGCCTGTGTGTAGCACTGTACAGACAATTGGAGTAGTAACACCTTGAACGAGATCCTCTGCACAATTAACAGAACCCTGGCTGGGCATTTTACATGTGTACGAACTAAGTCCATCCTTGAGCACACCTGCTCGCCTCCTGCCTTCAAATCCGTGATGGGAGGGCAACAAAGCTATACATTTGCTTCAAGAGCTGCCTAGCATTAAAAGATGAGTTAAGAGGGGTACCTTTTGCATCAGCACAAAGGAATTAGGTGCAGCATGAACCCACAACACCCAACTGCCTGACTGCGATGGTGAGAACGGCAGTCCTCTTACAGCCCCCCAACTTCAATACACCTGTCTGCCTGCTGGGTTTAAGGGAAAAAGCACAAGGAGCCATTTGGGCTTTTCAATTAAAAAAAACACTGTCACTGAATATGGGTTGTTCCTGTACCATACCGAAACAGAACCAAAGCAGACTGAGCACATGGCCTCGTTTACACCTGAATCACTTAAGCCACAAAGCTCAAACTCACTATGTAGTTAACCTAGCCAAAACATTCCTTTGTTAATTAGGCTACGGATTCCCCCCCTCCTCCACGCTTACATTACTGTCACACAAACAACTCCTATTTACATACGAGAAAGCGTTAAAAAAGATTAAAAACCGAAGACTTGGCAAATTAAGACCCAAACGCCTGCTCTCGGGCCGGCCCCCGCCCTGGCACGTTACCGGCGCCTTCTGGGCGCTGCTCCCCGCCG